CCCCTCTTCAGAGGCAGCCATGATTAGTCAGTTTGTAACATTTCCTTCGGAGGTCTTTTGTGTGTGTTTAAAGCACTAATTTTTTTACAATGAGTATTTTAGAGTTTCTATGTCGAAAGACTCATTTACAGCATATCACTTGAGATCTTAACTGAATTCTAAAATAAACAAAACTTGTAATTCTGGCCTTGGAATTAAATGTACACCTGCTACGTCTTTATGAACTTAAATATTATTATATTTTATTTAGAATGTGTAATTTGTTGTATATTTATCCCTGTAATATAATGAATCTCCCCATTCTTTCGAAAAGTAGCTAACCAGTATTGACAGGGAATTATTAAGTAGAAAATATAATTAATTAAATATGATTAGGACTATGATTTCATGGGCCTTACTACTGTAGTTTTAGGCTAAAATAAAGACAATGGAGCTGATTTAAAGAAAAATATTACGTATGTAAATAATAGTTCAGGGAATAATGGTATTGGAAAAGATTCTGGCTGCAGTGTGCAAATGTTGAAAGTTAGCAATACCAAACTAAAGAATGTTGTTTTAGTTCTCTTGCAAAGTCTGTGTTAAAAGCTTATTTTCTCATTAATGTGTAGTCGTAATAATAATGTTCATTATTATGGTTACTAATGACCACAGTCAATGGATGTGAATTGTATCCTCAGATTCTCTTCTTTTAGAAATAAGCTTAAAGTAGAAGAATATTTTGTTTAATATTAAAGTGTCTATATTTTATATTTTCCTTAAAGAATCTGAATTTTGAAAAATTATATGAAATTACATAGAAAGTTTCTAAAAAGAGTATGAGGTGGTTTGTTATTGTTACCTCTTTATTATCTATGGTAATGGAGGAAAATAAGGGTAGATACTGCAGGCAACGTTTCATATTTTTACTGTGTAAGTAGATTCCACAAAGATGTAAATAAAGACAACCTGAAGCTCTGATCTAGCAGCCTACCCATGACAAAGGTGTTGACTGAAGTCCTGCCGGGGACCTGCGGCGCACGCGCGCGCACTTCTCAAGACAGTCCTTTCTGTCTTCTGTGTATGTTGCTTCTGTTACTCACTTGAGGTGAAGTTTCAGGTTGAAAAAGCGTGGGCTATTTCGGAAGTTTCTGATGTTCTTGCTGGGTGATACTCTTCATCCAGATGTGTTTTGTTGATTGCCATTGACCGTAGCTTTCCTGGCACATAGTGAAATAGCCAGGTAGTGAGAACTGCCCCTGCGGAGCCAGAGTGCCCGCCTTCGGTGCACACGGCCCCAGCAGAAGCCTGAGTCTCGGGAGAAGTGGAGCTGACGCAGGCCCCGGCCACCCTCATGAGATCGTTCCAAGGACTGGGAAGAAAACTTGAGCCTTTGGTCCCACAGCAGAGCAGCAGTGACAGGTTTTCTGAATGCGCACAGTTGCCTTCTTTTTGCTTCAGGAGATAAGAGCTGAGGCCTGTTTTGGGGGATAGTAAAATGCCCCTCCCCCTAGTCTGTTGACAATTTGGGGGTAAAATTAAAAATTCTGATTCTGTGAGCCCTGTCTGGGTGGCTTAGTTGGTCAGAGCATCACCTGTACACCAAGAGGTTTGGGTTTGATCCCTGATCAGGGCACCTGTCTAGGTTTGGTCCCTGGTTGGAGTGTGCACGGGAGGCAACCAGTTGATGTTGCTTTTCTTACGTTGCTGCTTCTCTCACTCTCCTTTCCTCTCTTTAAAAATCAGTGAGCATATCCTCAGGTGAGGATCAAAAAAATTTGATTCTGCAAATCAGGCTAGTTAGTATTTGGAGAGAAATTAGCCTTATTTTTTTACATTTTCAAAACTTTGGCAAAATGTTTTAACATTTCAAGAGGTTTTTTTTTTGTGTACAAAAATGAAATAGGTTCTAGTGGATAAGTTCTACTTATTTTAATTATATTCTTTAAGTTTTCTTACTGGTATAAGCCTTCATTGAATTGTTTAACACTGATATTTTAAAATTATCGACAGAACTGAACATTTTTACTTTATAAAAACTTTTACCTGAGCCTTTTGACCGGTATTAAAGTCAAATTTTATAGATGAGAGGGTTTCTATTAGCTGATAGCTCTGGAGATGGGATATTATACTTTGCACTATGTTTTTGGTGACATATCCAGCTTTCTTTGCCAAGAACCACTGCTTTCAGACTAAAACATCTTGAGTTTAATTTGGCTGATGGCCACAGTAACCTTGCAGTCCCTCTACTGGCTGCCTTTGTTGTAGCAGAGGCCATTTAATTCTTTTTTTTTGAGGTCTCATAACTAAGCAAAAGGTTGTTTATAATTACTTTATGAACAAGGTGAATTTTGAGGGAAATTCTAATACAGGTGTGTGGACTGTTTCCTAATTGAGTAACTTCATAAACATAGTTATTAAGAATAAAAGTTTTAAGAAGTTACAATTACAGGTAAATATTTGAGAATACCTCACATAAATAGGTGGAATGGAATGGTTGTATTTTTTCTTTTCCTTTTTTCTACCTTTGATCTTTATCTGAATTTCCCAAAATTTAAAGCCATTAAAGAACGTGGTATTATTTTATTTTGTGTGTATGTGTTTGAATGACAGGCATGACCGTGAAAGGACAGGGAGACTGGGCAGGTAGAGGAGGGAGGTGAGCGCCCTCCTAGCCTAGCGAGTTCACGAATCATGTGGGAAGTGTGGGCAGCACTCATTCACATTGAGGCAAAGGGAACGTTTCTGTATTTTGTGAAGCTTATTGAAGTTTGAGCAATTGTAAATGGTTCTGCGAACTAGGGCAGGTTTCTGTTAGGCTGTATAAGTAGTGCATAATGAATATTTAAGTGCCCAGCTCTTTAATATTTTGTGCTTAGGACTAAGGAAGAAATATGACAAAATTCTTGCCTTTCACTGTATCGAAACACAAAACAATGACAAATAATACAAGATGATGGATTTTTTAAAATTTGTAGTAGAAACTCAACAGAATTACCATCGTAACCATTTTAAAGTGTAGAGTTTAGTAGCATTGAATTACTTTGTTGTGCAAGGTGTTATATATTTAAGTTAAAAATAATTTGTTAAGGAGAGAGGGTAAATGTTATAGGGAAGTAGCATTCAAAATGTACTACATGAAACCACCTCAAACCCAATTTTACTTGAAGAAATATTCTATTTATATTTTATTCTATTTGTGTGTTAAAATATAAATGTATTATGTTTATTTAACTTAGGTTTGGAAACTACTGCTATTAGGATTTGGAGGAGGAGAAAGGTGTTAGTTATTTAAGGCTGGAATAATGCAGGAAGGTTTTATGGAAAAACAGGAAGCCTTGGGCTGGACCTTAAAGACTGATAAAGAATCGGGTGGGTTGTGGGCAGGGAAAAGGAAAAGCATTCCACTTGAGGGAACCAGTCAGAGCTCAGAGATGGGTATGAACGTTGCCTGTTTGTAGATCCATGAGAAGACCTGTACTGTTAGAATTTATTATTTATGTTGGGGGGTAAATGGTTTCGGAGGCATTGTAGTGTAACATTTCCAAAAATGTATTCTATTTCCCATGAATGGGAGAGGGAAGTCATATTTTTTTCCTGCAAGGCTTCTGTAACGTTTGAATGCTACCGTGCATTCAAAATCTTCTAGAGGTTATATCCAACATATGTTTTAAAATTTGACCAGAGGAAGTTTTCTTCATCTGGACACCAGTTTGAAAATGTATACGCCACTTAGAAGTTGTGTAACTTGGTCAAGAAATGGTACCAGGCCCTCCACCCCAGTACTTTAGGATGATTAGGTTACAATCACAATTACTGTATGCAAAAAGTGTTTGTAAATTCAGCAGATGTTGAGTATGTATTGTGATATGCTAGTGATGAATTGTAGAAGTGTGTAAGGGAAAAGTTATGAACCATAGAATACTGCATGCGTGTAAAACCCCCCTGTGCCCTTGCTGGTCTTAAGTATGGTCTGCACATTGGCCCCTCCTTGCCTGGAGTCTTGTTAGAAACGCAGAACAGTAGACTCTGTGTCAGACCCACCGAATTAGAACCTGCATTTCATCAGGTGCGTCACGTGCACATTAAAATTTGTCATACGCTCCTTCACATCATCTCCAGTAAAACTTCCTTCTGTGCTTGAAGGTGGTTAGTTGCTGAGAATTCGATGCCTTTGATTTCAAACACCAGGTTTACCCTCTTGAAACTTCTGCCCTTTGGTTACAGTTTTGCACAGAATGTGCTTAATATCTCAACTGAGAGCCATTTATGTGCAAAAGATAAGCTTATGTGTATACATGAGCTTCTCAGAAGATAGGTCACCTAGAGTTGCTTGAGAATGACATGACCGGGGATTAGAGTGGAAGTTAGGTGTGGAGCATTTGAGAGCTGTATGCCTTGCGTTCAGTTGTCACTGCTGCTGTTGTTTTTGTACCCTCTGCCGAGCAATTTAAGTAACATTCTTTCTTAATTTTAATTTTTCATGTTGGACTACTACTAATTTTGCTAAGCCCAGAGTAGCCTTAGTGTTTGCGTGGAACCAGCTCTCAGACCCCTTCCATCCACCCACCTGCTCACTAGGTGGGACAGTCGATTATGTTAGATTGAATTACATGGTAATGTTCACCTGCTAGTTTGCCTCCCTTTTAAAGAAATTTCTCCAAAAATATTATCTTCCTATTCTTTTACTTTGTAATATTTAAATATGTGAAATTATTAGAATTATTACATTATTAAGTCCCATTTAAGAAATTAAGTACTTTTAGTTACAAAACTATAAATGCTCACTGTGAATTAAAGCAGTGTAGGAAGAAATGAAATTCTATCTAATTGCATTCCTTTAGGGTTATCTTCTGTCTAGTTTATGTTTACTCCTAATTTTTTTTAATGTACTAAAGCTATACATCATACGTAAAATTCAACAAGAAGGGGATTTATGCACTGTTCTGAGAATTGATTTTTTACTCAGAAAATTTAAGCTGATGTCTAGACCTTAATATAATTATTGTGTTTTTTGCCATTAGGGAAGAAACCCCTTTTTCTTGGAACCAGCAATAATTATCACAATCACCGATGGGAGCAAGCTGACCACCACCAGTGGGGTGCAGGACGAGGTAAGTCGTGTTGATGTCGGCACATTCTGTGCACATTCTGTGGACGTGAAGTGGAGAAGTGCTTGTTTGTGTGTGCACTGCAGGATGTTGACACCTTCAGGAGATGCTCTTTGGTTGTTGGATGCAGGCTAGAGGCACCTGCCTCCTGGTGCGCATGCGCCTTCTCTGTTGTCTGGAGCAGCAGTCTCTGAGTTTTCTTGAATAGCAGCCCCTTCTGTGAAAAAACTTTGAGCCTCCCCCAGTCCAGTTGTATGTGTAATTCTGAGTTTAGGTGAGGGTGATGGTATCAGCTCATACAGTACAGCTAGTAAAGTTAATTCTTATTTTCAGGTTAAAAAAATGAGGGCAGGATTCTGATAATTTCTTCCCGTATTTGAGTGGATTGCTGCGTGCACTCCGCTGTGGACACTAGTGAACTAGAGTCTAGCAGAGCCGTGAGGAGGTCGAGACCAGGAACAGGAAAGGTCTTTGGACATGTTTATTCTAAGTCAAATACTCTATAATAATTGTTAATCTTACCTATTTTCTGTTAGCAAATATTATGCAGAAATTGACTTCGTGTGGTGTGATAGGGTGAGTACAATAGAATTATTTTAATTTTAGGCTATTTTTATTGTATTTGAACTGCTCTTGAACATTATATTTATTTTTTATTTTTTTAAAGATGTTATTTATTTTTAGAAGGAAGGGAAGGAGAAAGAGAGGGAGAGAAATATCAACGTGTGGTTGCTTCTCACATGGCCCCCACTGGGGACCTGGTCCACAACCCAGGCATGTGCCCTGACTGGGAATCGAACTGGAGACCCCTTAGTTTGCAGCCCATGCTCAATCTACTAAGCTACACCAGCCAGGACTATACTTATTTTTTAAAGTATGTTGTAGAAGGGAGATGGTTTAGACTACTCTCTTTGCTGTTTGCATTTGTTTTAGAATCTTAACTTTAATTCTCATTATATTTAGAAAGGGTTTGCTTAAGTAGGAAAAGTGTAGTTTTTAAGTTCAGTAATTTTTAGCAATACTTTTTATGTGTGACATTGTGGAATACAAATTGGACTTGGAATAAGAAAATGTGGATTTTAGCCGACCTCCAGCTACTTTCTGCCTGTGAACTTTATGCCATCTCTAAATCTGCCTCTTGTCCATGAAATAAACATGGTGGTCGATGTCTTACTGCATAGGGTTGTTGGAAGACTGAATGAAATGCAGTACGTGAAAGTGCTTGATGGGCTGTGCAGAGAAGAACATGTTTACCATGAAGCACTGGAGCCAATAAAGAATTGTGATTGCCTGATCTTGACTGCGGGGAAGAAAGCCAGAATTGTTTTGTGTGAGCAGTTGAACTTGATGGGAATTTAGGCTGTAATTCATGGAGTTAGACCTGAAAACTCGAGGAAGATTAAAATGCCATCAGTTTCTGAATATTGACTTTGTACTCTGCTACTTTGCCAGATCACTTAATTAGGTCAAGTAGTTTTTTTGGTGGAGACTGTAGGATTTTCTATGTACACTATCATGTTGTCTGCAAGTAATGACAGTTCTACTTCTTCCTTTCCAGTTTGGATGCCTTCTAAGTTCTTTTTCTTGTCTGATTGCTGTGGCTAGGACCTTCAGTACTGTGTTGAATAGCAGTGGTGAAAGCGGGCACCCTTGTCTTGTTCCTGATCTTAGTGGGAAAGGTTTTAGTTCTTGCTCATTGAGTATGATGTTGGCAATAGGTTTCTCATATGTGGCCATTACTATGTTGAGATATGCTCCCTCTGTTCCCACTTTGCTGAGTGTTTGTATCATAAGTGGGTGCTTATTTGTTTTAAGGCAAAGTTTTATATAGGTTATGTAGTAGGAACATAGGCCTGTGAGTTTATAGTTTTCGAGTTTAGGAGAGTCTTTGATCCTATGCATGTTTGGTCTCCATGTCCCAGTGAGACTCCTCTTCTGGGGCAGAGAGACAGTGCAACCTGATGTGCCTGTTGTTGCAGCTCAGTTTTTTCTAAAATGTTGTGAAGCATTGGTTTGTTCTGCCCAAATTAAATTATGGTATTCATTTTAAGGAGACTTTCCATTCATAAAAAGCATAAAGATGCTGCTTGTTTTTCTCCTCTGTGTCTGGGTTGGTGTGCATGGGCGTGCACACACGTGTGTACTGCATGTAATCTGTCTTGTGATTTCTTCTCAGGAATAGCAAACAGAGTTTTGCCTTCATGTCTTTTTTTTTTTCAGATCTCTTAACCTTTGCCTTTGGCAGAACTTGATTCTTTTTCAGATTTATTGAATGAGTGAAAATGTCAGTAATTTTCATATTAGGTATGTGTGTATATAATTTTCTATGCCTGTGACTGTCATTGATGTGACCTGCTACTATTTACGCAGCTGTGCCTTCCACCCATATGATACACTTTGCTCCAGAGTTACATGATCTCGCACGGTGTACTGTATCTGTTCTCTTAGTGCTGTTTTTCAGGAGTAAGTGTTCTGCCGCCTTAAAATCATCCTTATGGTGTGAGAGGAAACTCTGAACTCATCCAGTCATACTGTTTATTTTAGAATGAGGAAGTCGAGATCCAGGGAGGCAAAGTGATTGGCTAAAGTTACAACATTTGTTATTGCCAAAATGTGTATTAGAATTTATCTAAAGTCCGAAGACGTTCCAGCCCCTTCAGACCAGTGCTTTTTTCCTGATGTGTCTTCTGCCTCTCTGATTCTCTTTTTGCCTGCTCTTAAAATTTACCTTCTGTTTACCCGATTCCCTTTTCATTTACTTCAGCTTTCTTTGTGCTTGTGACAAAGTGATGTGTTCCTATTCACTCAGGGTACTTGAATGCCTGTGATAACCAGGGCAATGAGGATAACCAAAATAAATAGGGTGGATTTCCAGTATTCAAGTTCACAGTCTCATGGGGGAGATTGCTTATTAAATGGCTTTATGAGTGCTAAAATACAGGTAACATACTGAGTGTATCAGAGCACTGATGGGGGAGAGAGGGTTAATATCACCTATCTTGTGTTTGTGTCAAATTCTATGTAATGTGAATTTTTATAGTCATTTAATTTTGATTAAATTCAAGGATGTTGTGGATGATCTGGTAGAGGATGTGGCTTATAGTTTATATGTGTGAATTTTATAAAAAAGCCTGGTATGAAGTTGTATTAAGCCTAGAAAATAGTTAATGGAAAAGCTTGGTGCCATGTTGTCTCTTGACCTGGTTAAGATTATACTGGCCAGAATAACCCAATTTCTTATAACTTGTTTGTTGAAATAACAGGGATGCCGTTTCCTCTGTGACAGCTCCTCTCATAGCGGTGAGCGAGGGTTAGAAGAGTGGCAGCTTCGGGTTGTGGACAGTCATCCTGAGATGTGTGTGATCGCGTCACTGGAATCCATGTCCTTATGATCTTTTTGACCTTGTTTAATTAAGTCCAGGCCACTGTCTGAGGTGTCAGGGGTATGTTTCTAGTGTAGTGTTTTTGAAAACTTGTTAGGACTTTTGACGACTGTTTGTGTTGGAAAAACGTGTGTGTTTTAAAAATATCTTTTCTTTTTAAATGCAGCTATTCGATAAAATTGGTTGTTTGCAGTATTTTTGTGCACGAGGAATTAGATGGGACTTTAAATTCTGATACACGAGAAAACTAGACTGTTTACTTCCTTGGTGATCTTCGATGTTGAAAAACATGCTCTGGTCAAATAATCATGGTAGCATTTACCGGTGTGTCAAATGTTTTGGTAGAATTCACTAAATTATAATTAGAGTTGCTGAACAACACTGTTTCTGGTCTTCGGTTCTTGCAGTAATCCTCTCTGGTACTGTTTTGCAATGGAAAACTATTCTGTACTTAAGATTCCAGAAACACGTGGCTGACGATATTGCTCAATAAAGGGGCTGAAGAAACCCTGCCAGTGCCTTCCTGGTGATGAATGACATTCCAGGAAGGGTAGCAGTTATTTTCCTCTTCCTTGGAAGTGCTGGTAGTAGTATTATCTTTCAAATGTGAGATTTCTATATGCTGAGAATCTTTCTGCAGCTCTGTCAATGTTACGACCACACTGGAAGTTAACATTTTAAAGAAAATACTTGCAGTAAAAAAAAAAACTATTGGTTTTTGACATTGAAAGTTCTGCCTTTAATGAGCCTTTCCCAGCTTTTTAAGACAAACTAGGACAACTTACTTTTATAACTTCTTGGCAGATGTTCAGAAAGGGCATGTGGTGTAGGAAAAAAGTGTCTGAGTGATCTCAGCTACATGTTCAAGTAGCTACAAATTAGGGTCTCTCACCCTCTCAGCTGTCCAAGTTGATGCCAAGGCTGCAGCAGACTTGCAATGTTGATTGGCATTAGTGATTTTCCAGGATCGTGCTGGGCAGTGTAGTTTTACCTTGTACAAGGACAGTCTGTGATTAGGGTCTATAGTTATGGTTTGTATTTCACTCTTCGTGGTCTGTACTGATTAAAAGGACTGTCTGTTTCTAGTGTCTGAAACAGTTCAGATACCACATCTCTCTTCCCCCCAAATGTTTTTATTTCACTAAAATTACTAAAAATATGTGCCAAAAGCTGTCAATACTGTTTAAATTGGGTCAGTAAAGTCTTTGAAACACATATTTAAATAGTTTTCTCCCCAGTATCCCTACAGTTTCGGGGTACTTTCTCTTTCTTTTTTCTTTTTTCAAAAGACCCCTATGGAATCTTGAGGGGCATCACTGCAGCGTGATAGAATGTACCCAGCAGACCTGCGTGCGAACGTGTCTGTGCATTTTCACGTCTCCTCCTGTGTGGCGGTGCCTTTTCAGTGATGGACCGGGGGCTCAGTGGCAACAGCAAGACTAGCCCTTGTGTTACTGACTTGTGATTGAGCTGTTCTACACATATGGACAGCATTACTCTACTTGTTAGTCTCTATCAATACAACTTTTCAAGAACATTGAATAAGAATTTGTTGCACACAATTTATTTGTATTTTTTTACCCATATTTTTTGCCTGTTCTGTCAACCCCTGATTTATTG